GCAGCAAGCAATCAAGCAATAATCTACTATTTTTGTTAGTATATTAAACTTTATTATTAATATATAAAATTGTATTTGTAGTATTTTAGTATTGTATTTATAGTATAACAACATTGTATATACTTAATTTTCATATATCGAGATTAGCACACAACGCGTTTCTCTAGTTCTAATACCTAGACAAGAAGGAAATGTTAATATACCACAATAGTTGTTTTTATAATAATTGCCAGTTTTATTTTTAAAACGCATCAGTTAGAAACAAAGCACTGCAAATGGTAGGCTTTCCGCAAAAGTTCCAACGTTTTGCATGGGGTTTGGTAATTCCAGGGCTGGTTATTTTTACTTAGTGTATACGGATGTCCAAAGCCATCATTTGATCTTAGACTCAGCCGAATTTAAAAAGAAATTGCCGATTTAATCACGTGCATTGGAAAGCACGTCAAGCCGTTGTTCCTAGCCTGATTTCTCCCCTATCATGTCAGACTGCTGTGCCGTTTCATTGTACTCTTACTATGAGAGTGAGGAAATAGAAAGTGAAACTGTGTTTGCGTTCACAGTCTTGCACTATAATCTTGTCCTGCGCACATGCTTATTAGATCTGGTTATTAGATTTATTCTTCATTGAGACTGGTTGCCATGACTGAAATTAGGTCGAAAAGACTTTCTTTTATACCGTAATCAATGAAAAAGAAAAGGAATGTAAAGGCTTTAAGTGTAGTATGGTGAAGTTGGTGAAGGAACAAACTCGTAAAGAGTACGTAGCGTAAGTAAAAACAGCATAATGTTGCTTTGTGTTGCATTAGGGGTGATGAAAGTCGAAGACCCTTTCAAAGTGTATTACCCATTCTTCCATATATAAGAAAATAATATAGGGAACTTTGGCGGTGATCATGATTCTATATATATTGATCATTAAAGGTGGTAAAAGGTACCCCTCACCCGAAAGGAATATAACCTCTTTGAAGTGGTTAGTGGTACCTCCGAGACCAAAGATAACATACACTAATTACATACTGCAATTGCTGATTAATAATTGTAAGATGTCGATACCCCCGACAACAAAACACTCTGCGACCATTCTGCGACAAATTCTTTACTGACAATAATAAATATTTTTGCTATTTCTTTTCGAAAAGAACCATTTTATGATATTAGTTTAACAACCCTGCTCTCCTCCTCACTTTACTCGTCAACTCACTTTGCCTTATCGCTCATTATAGTCGAAAGTTCTATTTTCCTTCTGATCGAAGTTACTTGCCCTTTGTGAAGAAAGTTATATTGAATTCTTAGAGACATGATGTAATGTATTAATATATCACAATGTATTTTTCCACAAGCTATCTAACTTTCTGTGACCGTAGTTGTAACAAAATAAATGTTGCGTTAAACATTTATTTAATTTACAAAAAAATTTGTTTGGCAGTAGAAAAAAATCTCATTGATGGATGACCTATATTAAATTGGAAAGTAAAACATGATCGTAATACAGAATTTCATTTAAATCGTTAAAACCATTTATACATGAGGGTAATATGGTCATCCGGTTAATATGGCCACTTTCTTATTGTGATAAAACCACAGTCTTATTTGCATAGATGGCTGTGTGATACGATTAGCTTTTCATCAGTCAATCGTATAATAAAAGGTCAAAAGGGCGCTGCTTTATCGGCGCCATTTTGACAGTTGACATTTAATAACGATTTCTTATATTTACGCGAACACTACACATTGATTAAAATTTAAAACCACTTTTACGAATTTTATCGCGTTCAATTATTTGATTTTTAACTCCCGAAGTTTCGGGTGCTTTCCATTCCCCCGTGACCCGAATCGCCGGAAATTAAAAATCAAATAATTGAACGCGATAAAATCCGTAGAAGTAGTTTTAATCGAAGTTGACATTAAAGTACATATTTTAGTCGATTTTAGTACTGTGTAGTGATGTTAGTTTTTTTAAGTAGATTTTTCGAAGTGTTCCTAATTATTGCCAAAACTTGTTCGCTATTATTTTCTTAATATATTAGTTCTAGTACACGACTTTGTGTTTTTGTCTCTCTGCTCCTCCTAGTTTTAGTTTCATATGGCAGCACAGCTTAAGAATACCATATTACCCTCACGCACCTTACTAGATCATAGGATTACTTTTCTATGTAGAAGCCCGGCTGGGTGATACCAGCCTCTTATTTATTTTTGCTATCATAAAGCAGTGCTTGCACCGCTGTGTTCCGGTCTAAAGAGTATGGAGAAATAGCATAATTAAATCCTGTAATGTTTGCTGTGAGGCATTCCATCTTAGTCCTCAGAGGTGACAACGCAACTGTGACCTTCATTGCTTAAAGTTGGTGGTCATGTACTGCAGTAGCAGCATACCATCAGATGGACTGTAAGTTAGTTTTTCACAACATTTTTATAAAGAGCCATGCTTTATACGTGGTAGAGCCACGCTTTATACGTGGTAGAGCCACGCTTTATACGTGGTAGAGCCATGCTTTATACGTGGTAGAGCCATGCTTTATACGTGGTAGAGCCACGCTTTATACGTGGTAGAGCCACGCTTTATACGTGGTAGAGCCATGCTTTATACGTGGTAGAGCCATGCTTTATACGTGGTAGAGCCATGCTTTATACGTGGTAGAGCCACGCTTTATATGTGGTAGAGCCACGCTTTATACGTGGTAGAGCCATGCTTTATACGTGGTAGAGCCATGCTTTATACGTGGTAGAGCCACGCTTTACAGCCATGCTTTATACGTGGTAGAGCCACGCTTTATAACGTGGTAGAGCCACCATGCTTTATATGTGGTAGAGCCATGCTTTATACGTGGTAAAGCCATGCTGCAGCTATGTTAGTAGTACAGTTGTAGCACGAATGGGTCGGCTTGACCGGGGAGGACCACGCTCTCACAGAATACCAGCATAAAATAGTAGCTTAATGCTGCTGTGTTTCGTATGGTGAATGTAGAGAACCGGAGACCCTTTTTACTGGAAACGAGGCATTCTATCTTAGTCTTCACGGGTGACAACGCATCTACATTTTACACTTTGTTACAGCAACCACTTACCATCAGGTGGACTGTGTGCTCGTTTGTCACCCTATCCTATAAAAAAATCCGTTTCAGATTACATGAATATTCACTAACTGGCCTCGCAGACGTCGTTCCACTCTTTCTTCCGGTTTTTGAAAATATAAAAAATAACATTTATTAATAACTTGACCACATCGCGCGCCACCTATCCGATCCAAAATTTATGGTTGTCTTTTTTTTACCAAGCCATCATAACATTTTGGACATATTATAATTTTGGTTCATAAATATAAAATTTGTTAATAATCATAGTACAGCACCACAATTAAATTGCGAGAAAGAAATATATTGCGGTTAAGCATTTCTTCAATAAAATACTTTGATAGCTATGTCAATGCTTAAAATATAAAATGTATAAAAGATGTATTATGTGTATAGTTTTTAAATATAAAGCTAATGATTGCTTTACCTAATAAACGTAAATATTTAAATAACTTATACTGACTGAAAAGGACACCTGAAGTTCATTATTCATTCATTCATGTTATTATAAATTATAGCCTCGTTGAATAAAACTATTTATATGGATTTTATTGCGTTTAGTTAACTTATTTCTCATTCCCGACGTTACGGATGCTTTACAGCACCCATGGTCACGGGATGACTGAGATGTTTGACGTCCCAATGTCATAGTTAGATTGGCTACCTTCGGTTTTTTAATATTAATTTTTGGTCGAACTAAACGAATTAAACAACGAGCAACAAGCAGCAAGAAGCTTACAGTACAGTTTCTTGAAGTAAAGCGTCCGTATTGTCGGGGAATTAAAAATAAGTTAATTAAATGCGATAAAATCCGTATAAATAGTTTTATGCATTGTGTAGTGTTCGCGTAAATATGAGAAATCATTATAGCCTATTAAAAATTTTATGAATCACGGCCTTTTTTTATATTCCTTTTTTTAGACAAACGAGCACACAGTCCACCTAATGGTAAGTAGATGCTGCGGCCCATAGACATCTACATTATGTTCGCCGTCAGCAAAATGAAGGGCACCCTCTACTTGATACAGTGACGACCCGGCAAGATTTTTTTTAATAGATTATGGGTGACAAACGAGCACACAGTCCACCTGATGGTGAGTGGATGCTGTAGCCCATGGACGTAGATGTCCTTTATCCTCGATTAAGAATCAAAATGCAGATGCGTTGTCACGTTTGAAGACTAAGATAGCATGCCTCGATTCCAGTAAAACGGGTATCCGGTTTCCTACGCTCACCATACGAAACACAGCAACATTAAGCTGCTATTTTACGCTGGTATTCTGTGAGAGCGTGGTCCTTCCCCGGTCGAGCCGACACATTCATGCTATAACCATAATAGCTGCAGCGTGGTTCTACCACGTATAGTGTGGCTCTACCTCCGTAGGTTGCCTTATAGGTAGGATATTTTGCCATTTGCCACTTTGCCATAGTAACCATGCTTGACAGGCGAGTTATAGTAACCGTAGTTTTTATATTAGCTTGAGTTATCATCAGGAAGATGCTACCGCCGATCTACTGTTCCATTTACCTTTGTCGCCTCTTGCTACACTCACGGGATGGTAAGCAGTAGTGGATTGTTTTACTCCGCCACTATACGGATAGAAGTTCATACTACATAAATCTTATTATCAAACAGCACTATGAGAACAGAATGTCAATCATAAGCATTACTTAAAGTCACTCCATCGAGTAAGCAGTCTGCATTACTAAATTCATCACCACTATCATCATTAATACAGCCCTTCACAGGTCTAGGTAGTAGGCTTCAGGTAGGAAAGCCATAAAAATATCACAAAACTTGGTTTAGAGCCACTTTCATCAATCGATTTTTCATTCGATCTCTTTCCGACTTACTCGGCACTCCATCTAGTGGATCTAGATCTCATTCCTAAATTAGGTTTGTAATATAATCTATTGTCTCGTACTTACCTGTTAACAGATCCGGTGTGAACTTGGGTGCCAGCTCGATGGAGGAGCAGTTCCATCTTTCACCAGCGTGTGTGTTTAGACAAGTGGTCCGTGCGATACGCGCGGCGGCCACCACGTGGGGCATGGCGCCCGGCTGCCGGCGACAGACGCGCGCCTGTGCGCTCCACAATGCACCGCTGCGTCGCGCCTCGGCACAATCACTTTCCGTCCAGTTTCCATCGCTTTCGTGAAGGGCCCTGCGGTTGTATTATACAAATATATTCAAAAATACTATGGTAACATTAGTGGTAAAGCCACGCTGCTGTTGTGTCAAATTGTGGCCTGATGCTTCGTATTGTGTTTCGTATGGGTAAGGAAATGAGACCCGGAAACCCTTTACTTGTGACGAGGCATTCCATCAGAATTTTCAAAAATGACAGCATATCTGCCTTTATAATGTCGAATTTCGGCCACGGCAGCCTGCCTCAACGGAGGCTAGTCATCGGTGCAGACCAGGATTATAGTACCCAAGCACAGGTGCACTCTCTATTCCCTCACATATATAATCCGATGGGACGGTAAACCGATACGATCGGAGAGAGATCAGGATCTGCCTTTATTTCTTATTCTAGGGTATAAGATGAATGTATATTATGTAGGTGTCTATGGGTCACAGTATACATTTGCCATCTGGTGATATGAATGCTCGTTACTTTTATTTTTATAAAAAAAGTCCTAAAATGTGTCCACTAGGGGTCTGTACTCTTTACTCATTACTAGCGGTTATTTAAGATTTAATTGATGTCCATTTCTATTCGCATAAACATCATGTAATAAATGGTATTAAATGAAAGAGGAATAAATATTTAAAAAAATGGTACTCCATTATATTAAATATTTCTGGGAATGAAAAGCATCATCAGAATTCATTATCATCATCAGCAGAGTTGAATTGTAAAAAGAAAGAAAGAAATCTGTAAAAATAAACCAAAATTAACAAAAGTGGTAGGTAAAATATTAAAGTAGTAGTTAGTAATAGCCCAGAATCCTAACACGTGGATGTGACCATTTTTACTTTGCAGGTATAATATTTTAATAGTTACTACTTTTTAAGATGGGTATATAAAACAAATAAAAAAGAAATCCAATATAATAAAATACACAGCGTACTCAGATATAATAAAATACACAACGTACTCTTAGACACCCTTTTTGTACCCAAATATTATGTTTATAGTAAACAATTTATACAGCCCCAGCAACCTAGTAAATTAACTATTATATAAAATCAAAATATGGGGATATACACTTAAAACATATCTTTAAAATAATAAAGTTAAAATATTGAAAATAATTCTTCATGGGGTATATTGTCACAGTTGCCACGCTAGGCGAGCGGGTTGGCAACCGCAGTTTTTTTTTGTTGTACAATTGTTGTTATCAGCAAGATGCTACTGCCCATTTCCTGCCTGTTTCCCTCTGTCGCCTCTTACGACACCCACGGGAAGATATGGGGTAGTGGATATTCTTAACCGCCACTACACGGCAACGGATTAGTAAGCTGAAGTGGCAGTGGGCCGGCCATATAGCTCGAAGAACCGATAACCGATGGGGAAGAAAGTTTCTCGAGTGGCAGCCTCGTACCGTTAGGCGTAGTGAAGGGCGATCCCCCACTAGATGGAGTGACGACCTGGTAAGACATGCAGGAAGTCGATGGATGCAGGTGGCTCAGGACCGTGCATTTGGCATTACTTGGGGGAGGCCTGTGTTCAGCAGTGGACTTGTGAAGGGCTGTAATGATGATGATGATGATGATGATTGAAAATAAAAGATAGGTATTAAAAATTTTAAGTGAACACACAATCCTTTGAAAAATTCAATCATAATCGCTGTCGGTGAATGGCCTCACTACATGGATAAATCTAAGTTGGTTTTTGTATACCATATTTATTAAGTAATAATTATCAACAAATTAAGAAAATAATAATTCAAATTCATGAACATGGCCACAAGAAATAAATTTTAAGAGTTAAAAAATAAACGATTTATAACTTAGATTTTATTAAAGATAATTTAAAATTTACAAAACAAATATTGCAAAACATTTTTGTTCGATAAAAAAATAAACATTTTTTTAAGTTGTATAATCATAGTGTCCTACGATCAAGAGCAGATAACTGACAGCGGCAAGATATTTTAATACGAAAAATTTATACTACATAATATTATAATGAATTTGCTAGAAATTTATTGATTCTATATATTATATTCTTTGCATTTCTTATTTAAATGTACATATTTTATTTATTTATTATTTTAACCTTATGAAAACTAACAACTAAAGTTTTCTGTTATTGCTTAGATTCCTTCTTTTCTCTTTCTTCGCTGTATGAAGCCTGAGAGGCTTGATGTCGATGGCTTGGATCCCCTCGATGGCCACGTTGAAATGCTTCACACATTTCAAACAAATAGTTAGGCAAGAAATCAGCTGATTCGCCTTCCCTACGTCTCAGCAGACTATAGGCGTCCCGCAACGTCGGCTTAGGTGTTAACCTCATTTCAAGCTCCACAGCTGAGGGGAAGTGAGCTGCCAACGAATAGATGATCTCTAAGTCGGACGGCGGCGGAGTCAGATGCTTATAATTAGTAACTTTGTGCAAAAAGTACTCAGACATACTCATTCGTGACTTTTCCGCGTCGTATTTACCGAGTTTCATATCGTAAAGTATCAATTTCTGCCGGTCAGGACCCCAAAATTCTTTCTCGAAAGCATCATAAAAGTTTTCAATATCCTTAAATTCATTTCTAAAACAACGAGCCCACATTAGAGGTATGCCTTCGAGGCAAGATATAATAAAAGGTAGTTGCTTGTCACTTACAATATTTAATTCGAAAATAAAGTATTTAACGTTCTCTAAGAAGTCCATTGGGTGAGTCTCTCCGCTATCATCGAAATGTGGGCGCTTCTTCAACGAAGCTAATATCCAGTCATTAATATTGTCGGTAGATATTTGTAACACTGGTTTATTACTGTTACAGTAACTTGCACTATCGTTGTCTATTTCTACTATCTTTGGATGTTCATCTTGTTGACCGTTAGACGATTTATCAATTTCCTCATCCTCTTTACCCAAGTTTGGCAGCGACATGTGACTTCGAAGTCGTGATGACGGCATATTTTGATAAACGCTTTCTTGACTTTGTGAAAACCGTACACCAAACCCTAAAGTTGTCGGCTTGTAAATGGATCCGCTATAAGATGAACTACCAACATTTTTCATACAGTCATTTTTCGACTTCTCTTTGAAAGCTGAACTTGATATCTTGTCCACCATTTCAGATAGATTCGTCACTGAAGACTTGATCTGTCGTAAATCAACAAATAAACTCATTCTGATTCAGAAAACTTCCTCATAATGGTTCTCACATAAAGCTGTAACAATTTTTTTATTAATTAATTGCCGTATAACCCAAAGACATAGGTAGATTTGTAGTTTAGAACGAAACATTCAATTAAATCGACGCAGCCACAATAGCCTTAATGGTTAAGGGTGCGGATTACTGACTGCAAAACAAAAAAGTCGTGGGTTTGAATCTGCGATTCAATTACTGCCCTGCATCACTATTAATTCTAAATCGAGTGTTAGAGAGATTGATTCGAGTGCTACAGAATTACAAGTGTTAATATCATTGTTAGTACTCGGAAGTTAAATTCAAACCCGAGAAGTTACTACTAGCCACTGGGTTAGGTAGTAGTTTTTAACAGGGAGTAGTTTTATTTATCAATTAAACGTGATTTCTAAAACACTATTTTACAGTGAAGATTGGTTACAAAAAATTAATAAACAAGAAACAAAGTAATTAAAAACCTAAAATTTAAATTATGCTATGCTTAGAGAAGCTTCTAATGTGTGCAATAAAAAAGCTAACTTTCATTTTCGAATATCAGGAACTTCCTAAACGTGCGTAGCAGTTTTCGTAGAGGCAAAGAAAGCTTACGTGCGGCAACGGCGGGCAGGCAAATGGTACTACCCGCCCCTACCGCTTCCGCGAGGGATGCCATGTCCGTACTCGACTCGTTGCTTTTTACAAGTCGTCATTACGATAACTGGGTTACTGTAGAAGGAATATATATTCCATTGAAATTTTACTCGTCAAGGGCACACGCTACCAATACTTCCGTCTTCTATATTTATTACGATGCGGCTACTAATAAGGGTTGAAATTCTCTTGGAAATCATGTCAAGATAAGTACAGAAGAAATGTAAAAGGAGTAATCAAACTTTTCTTTGCAACAGATCGTGAATTTATATATTTACTGTTTTATAAAAGGTATCATTTAATAGAACAATACAAACGAATGTAAGCGGATAAAGTTCGTTATCCGAACAGCAGATTCCTTTATTGATTCATCGGTTCTGCAAAGAATAGAAGCGAGTTTATTGGCATATAATGATGCATTCAGTCGACTCTACTCAGTTTTATATTATAACAAGCCTCATCAGTTACACAAATGCACCTAACGAATATAAAATATTTTACCTATTAAATTTGACTTGTACAATACAATTTAATTAGATGTACTGTGATATATTTGATATCGCATAATTCTTGTATTCGAAATAATTTATTTATAAGCAATTAGCTGTGAATTTAATTTTGTCCTCAACGACATTAAAGGAAAGTACCGGCTTAAATAGTAAGTACGTCGCACTACTGGACAGTAGAAATGATTCGCACTGGTCCATTGGGATTTTTTTTTTAAATGTGTCCGACTTACATTTATTTCTTACTATGATTTCCTTCATCGTGGAAAACATGATACGTTAACATGTATGTCGCAAAGGTCAATAGTCCAAAAGAGATCGAAAGAACTTTAAAAACCATAAAGCTTTTGGTTTCCTTCTTGAGATTCTTTGGAACCAATAAAATTCATAGAAATGAAGAATCTTTATTAAAAATTACAGGGGGAAAAATAAGTTTACTACAGATTCATTACCTATAATTTGTAAAAACCTTAATATTAATATTTAATATTTATACCTTCGATTGCTGTCACATCATAAAGCATTTTTATCAAAATATTTTTTAAAGTATGACAAACGAGCACACAGTGCAACTTATGGCGAATGGATGCTGTGGCTCATATTCATTGTAATCTATTCTCGATTAAGAATCACGCAGAGCGTTTTCACCCTTAAGGACTAAGATGAAATGCCTCGTACACTCGTATGCAGTAAGAAGGTATCCGGTTCATTACCGGACGAAATACAGCAGCATTAAGGTAGTATTTAAAGTTTTTATAGGATGGGGTGGCAAACGAGCACACAGTCTACCTGGTGGTAAGTGGTTGCTGTGGCCCATAGACATCTACATCTATCCTCGATTACGAATGAAAGTGCAGATGCGTCGTCACCCGTGAGGATTAAGATAGAATGCCTCGTTTCCAGTAAAAAGGGTCTCCGGTTCTCTACACTGACCATACGAAACACAGTAGTATTAAGCTACTATTTTACGCTGGTATTCTGTAAGAGTGTGTTCTTTCCCCGGTCGAGCCGACCCATTCGTGCTACATCTATACTGTGTACAACTATATCGTGCTACAACTACTCTACACTCACCACACGAAACACAGTAGTATTAAGCTACTATTTTACGCTGGTATTCTGTAAGAGTGTGGTCCTTCCCCGGTCGAGCCGACCCATTCGTGCTATATCTATACTGTGTACAACTATATCGTGCTACAACTACTCTACACTCACCATACGAAACACAGTAGTATTAAGCTATTATTTTACGCTGGTATTCTGTAAGAGTGTGGTCCTTCCCCCGGTAGAGACGACCCATTCGTGCTATATCTATACTGTGTACAACTATATCGTGCTACAACTACTCTACACTCACCACACGAAACACAGTAGTATTAAGCTACTATTTTACGCTGGTATTCTGTAAGAGTGTGGTCCTTCCCCGGTCGAGACGACCCATTCGTGCTATATCTATACTGTGTACAACTATATCGTGCTACAACTACTCTACACTCACCACACGAAACACAGTAGTATTAAGCTACTATTTTACGCTGGTATTCTGTAAGAGTGTGTTCTTTCCCCGGTCGAGCCGACCCATTCGTGCTAAATCTATACTGTGTACAACTATATCGTGCTACAACTACTCTACACTCACCACACGAAACACAGTAGTATTAAGCTACTATTTTACGCTGGTATTCTGTAAGAGTGTGGTCCTTCCCCGGTCGAGCCGACCCATTCGTGCTATATCTATACTGTGTACAACTATATCGTGCTACAACTACTCTACACTCACCACACGAAACACAGTAGTATTAAGCTACTATTTTACGCTGGTATTCTGTAAGAGTGTGGTCCTTCCCCGGTAGAGACGACCCATTCGTGCTATATCTATACTGTGTACAACTATATCGTGCTACAACTACTCTACACTGACCATACGAAACACAGTAGTATTAAGCTACTATTTTACGCTGGTATTCTGTAAGAGTGTGGTCCTTCCCCGGTCGAGCCGACCCATTCGTGCTACATCTATACTGTGTACAACTATATCATGCTACAACTACTCTACACTCACTATACGAAACACAGTAGTATTAAGCTACTATTTTACGCTGGTATTCTGTAAGAGTGTGGTCTTTCCCTGGTCGAGTTGACCGATTCGTGCTACAATCAAAATGTAGCTACCTTACGGCTGCCTCTACCACGTTAGCAAGCGAATAGCAATATGGTTATTATCAATTAATATTCATACTTTACCAGGTTTTAAGTTTATTTGGAATGCATGGAGAGGAATGTCTTTTAAAACAAATTTTATTTGATATTTTATTTGATATAGATGTTACATTTTGCTACGACAATATGCCTAAATATTTTTAATAGTTTTAACCTAGGCTATAATGTGAACGTTAAATCGGTAAAAGTTGTATATTATGCAGCTTTACTTGTATTAATAATTACATTGTTTCGCATGGAAAACCGATATCCCTGTCTAAATGCCAGGGGGAATGTAGGGAGCGCGCACGCGACGTCTCGAGCGCGCGTGACGCGTTCGACGCGGTGCTGTTGCATGCACTGAAATGTCTAACTTAATTTGAGAAGCGCAGCGCTTGGCCGCAACGACAGTTTCAGTGATTTTTTTGCTACTTCGACCTAGAATCATTTTTAAAATCCTGAAGCCCTAGTCCACAAAAACACCATTTATAGGCATATTTCATTATCGTTTATAATTTCCGTTTTAGAGTTCTTTAGTGCAACTACAATAACGGAAAGTTATTTTAGATTAAAACGTGTGTTAATTTTTATTTAAATATTTTTACTTATATGTGATTAAAAATTTACCGTTACGTAAAATTGAATTTTGAAATTGAAAAGAAATTTACTAGATGGTATACAGAACAGTCTTATGAGACGATGTTGGGTCAAAGTAAGTTTAAAGTTTTGGGTAATTCAAAAAGTAAAAAAAATGTAAATGGAATCATCTATATACGAGTATGTACACAATAAACAAGAAAAAATAATATTTTAACAATAATAAATCAATCAATATGAATATACATATATTGAACTAGCTTGTCAGGCAGACGTAGTTCTGCCCTTTTCGACGACAATTTGTCATGTCCTATTAAAAATCCTTAAATTCGCCAAAAAAATTGTGGGTCACTCATGGGCAAAAAAACTATCCTATCTCTCAAGTTGGACCAAACTGCACACGGTGTGCAAATTTGATTAAAATCGGTTAAGTAGTTTAGGAGTCCATCGCGGACAAACAACGTGACTCGTAATTTATATATATTAAATGTGCGAGATGTCTGGTACTGCGTAACAGGAGAGGCCCACATCCAGCTGTGATCTTTCATTGGCCTTTAAAAGTAAAAGTAAATTTACAGCCTATATACGTCCCACTACTGGGCACAGGCCTCCCCTCGTTTCTAAGAGGGTTTTATTGCAAGGAAGTGTCCACCACCCTGCCCCAATGTGTGTTAGCGAACTTCACATGTCTTTGAATTATTTTTTGTTCTTATAACACCTCAGACATACAGGTTTCCTCACGATGTTTTCTTTCACCGCCGAGCACGTGGTAAATCAGCACTTAAAATTTAATTGGTGCCGGCGGGGATCGAACCCGGGTTACTCGCGTTCTGTTATATTTACAGCGAGCGTTAACCATCTGAGCTACCACAGCATTGGCCTTTGCTACTATCATTCAAGCTCTTCACAAGTCCACTGCTGAACATAGGCTTCCTCCAAGGAATGCCACAAAGCACGGTCCTGAGCCACCTGCATCCATCGACTTCCTGCATATCTTACCAGGTCGTCTCTCCAACTAGGGCGGCCTAGCCCTACACTTCGCCTACCCT